GCCTGAAAGTCCTTGACTTGTTGTAGAAAAAAGGATGGGGATACTTAAGTCTATATAGTGATGCTGACTGGTTAGGCAGGAGAGGCCCAGGCTGAAGGACGGGAGATGGTTGATTGGACACGATGTTATATGGGAGTTGAGAAATGAATAGATGACACAGTTAAGATGCCGTAAGTACGGGGCTTTACCTAATGGAGAAATGGAGAGGTTGGTGCTAAAGGATGACATGTGTTATTTCTGCTAATCTCTAGACCTATTGACCAATTTTTATGGTTACTGAAGTAAATTTTATTTTCAGTCAAGCTTCAGCGCCAATCCTCCCATTGATGTGTTGTTTATTGGACTTGACACTTAAGCCTTATCTGTACATGCTTCTCCTAGTCTTTGCTTAACTTTTTGCTCAGCAGGCCCGTTACGTGACCTTATTCAAGTTGGGTACTTGTGTCACTTTATGCATATGGATAGGCCATTTCTTAAGGCAAATCTCCTTATCTGGTGCTGTGTGATTTCGACCCGAATAATATTCATCTTAATTGCAGTGCGTTTCTTCATTCATTTGGCACTCTATGTGTAGTTCTATAGACCCTTCTTATCCTTGTCAAATAGAGAATAGTTCTATGCATATGTTTGTATTGATTCTAGATTTCTTTGGAAGCTTTCTGTACAAGATTTGCTCAATCAATACAAAAATGAAATTCAGTCATGCTTATGATTTATTTTACAGATTTGATTTCAAGTGTGTATACAGAACACGTAAAAGTTTTTGTGATAATATTGTGTATGTAGTAATTATGATTTCTGTACATTAATCTTCATCTTCCCTTCCAGTTAACCCCCTCATATTATTTCGTCCAAAGGTGAGGTAGTCCAGCCTGATTGTAAAGAGCAGTAGTGTGCTTGTGTCCCTCAGATCTTCAAATCTTGTCTTTGTCCTAGTTAGGTTCACACTGTATTTTCCTCCAGTGACTCCTGCTTTCTTTTGATTTGATCTGTGACTAGATTTGTTCTATTATATTAAACTACATTTAGATGTTTTATCTTGACATATTGACAGTTATGTAACCTCGTCATAGCTATAAATTATATGATCTAGTTGCTTCTTTACATGGCAACATAGAGATTGACTCTAACTGGTGACTGTTTTAGAAGTTTTGATTTGCTTGCAGTTATCATATTCACTTGCAGTATGTTTATAACCACTTCCTTTCCTTTCCTGACCTGATATTCATATTTGATTGCAGTATCTTGACGAGAACAAAAAGCTAATCCTGGCTATATTGGATAACCAAAATCTTGGGAAGCTTGCTGAGTGTGCTCAGTAAGTTGCTGCTTAATTTTTGTTCAGCTTTCTTGCTTATCCACTGAAACTGGTTGCTTATCTCTCTCTTGGTCATGGCTCATTGTTGGTTATTCCGGTTTTTTTTATTCAAGGGTTCATTGGATGGTTTCTTTTATGATCTGGATTTGTATCTGTGTGACCAGTTGTGCCTTATCAGAAGTTTATACTCTGGTAAACTTGGAACATGCATCCATGTGGTTGCTTCTCTAGGATTGCCCTTTCTTCAGTTCTTTTCTCATCAAAGAATCCCTTAATGTATGCTGTTGATTATGATCCCCTTTCTCCCACCCTTCTACCCTTTATATCTGAATCACACTGCGATGCCAGAGAAAATAATTCATGGTCAGCGAGCCAAGTACCAGGATGGTTTTATCGTTTTAGTGTAAGGAAACTCAAATAAGTATCATGGTACTATCATATGGCTACTAAGTCTGAATGATGGTGTGTGAAATTGACTGCTATCTGTATATGTTAGATCATATAGACTTAGGTTTGGGTTATTAAAGCTCAGAGATACTGAAATTTATGTAATGTGTGGTATATTAAAAGTTGTGTAGATGTTATCAGTATCAACCACTTTGTATTTAGATGGTTGGATAAGACCATGTTTCATATGCTTGCTTTGTAATAGTATGTCATGGCATTGATATTGACCTTGAATTTGAGGACTGATAGCTGTGATAAGCACTAGACTTGAAGAGTTGAGGCCTTCAGTGACCTATAATATTTCTGTGGCAATCATTAACTCAACTTCTATGCATTGTGACTAGTAGAAGTGATGAATTGATGATGGTTATAATGGCCACAATCTTGGATGTTCTGTTTTTGGGCAATGTTCCATCCATTGATTTAACTAATACTACGTATATTTTGAGTTCTACAGATATCAAGCACAGCTTCAGAAGAACTTGATGTATCTGGCTGCAATAGCTGATGCTCAACCTCAGATGGCAACAGTACCTGCCCAAGTATGCTTGTGTGCAAAATCACTAAATGACTCTCTAATTATGATGTAGTCTCTGTGCTTATGTATAGAACATCACCTGCAGGTGGCCCCACATCCTGCCATGCAACAAGGAGCATATTACATGCAACAGCAAGCTGCTGCAATGGCTCAACAGCAAGGTTTCACTCCTAGGATGCCTGCTCAGTTCACTAATCCGCTTCAGATGCAGGAGCAACAACATCAGCAACAATCTCAGGTACATCAGCAGCAGCAGCAGCAGGCCATGGCTGGGCAGATGAACTTTAGACCTGCAGGACCCAGTGACGGGATGCATCCCATGCAAACTGAAGCAATGCATGGAGGTGGTAGCGGTGGTGGACCACTTGCATCGGCCAGTCCTAGTGACACACGTGGGGGAAACAAGCAAGATGGCCCTGAGGCAGGGTCTACAGGTGACGGACCAGGAAATTCCACTGCAGGTGCAGGGCGCAGTATTGAAGGAGAACCGTCTTACCTAAAAAGTTCAGAAGAAGGAAAGTGACAATGCCTTTTCATTTATAGGCATATGAATGTTGATAAGTAGGATTATGTGTTTTTCTCATACAGGAAGAAGGTGGTGGTGGTCTGGCCTCATCTTTGGTAAGCTTAAAATAGGAAGTGTAATTTTCGTGTTTGTTTCTTAATTTAGCTCAAGTTAGTGGAAGTTGTAGGGTTTCTGTTATGTTGTTATGTCCTAACATGTTGGCAAAAATCAAGTCCAGCATCCAATTATGATTCTAGACCACCTTTATCTATGGAAAAGATTGATGTTTGATCTTTCCTCTTGGCTATTCATGTACTCCTTAGGGTTATGCAGCGGATGTGGATTTGCAGCTGTGCCAGACGAATCTTCTGAAGTAAAATCTCTCTCGCTGTCTTTCCATTTTAACACTTCCTGCCATAGTTTTGTTCAATAAGTATTTGTAGTTATAGCATGAACAATACATCTGTATTTGGTTAAATGCGACGGGGGAAGGTTTCGAGGATAAAGAAGGGATGTTATATCATTTGGGCTGATGACGGTTTGGTTGGCTCTTTGCTATCTCAATCATGAACGAACTGGGAGACCTATAATTTGATAGTCTAGTATTATTAGGCTTAATGTAGTATAAGTCTATTAACATTCTTTAGATGATTAGGTTGGTCCTGGTACTGCAAACTAGTAGGAATTAATGTTAGTGGGTGAGAAATTAAAAAGAAATATTCATATACAAGCAATGAAGAAAAAGGTTAGGGGGGATATAATTAAAGAAAAAGGACGTCGAAGTTAGCCATATTTTAAAAGCAACAAAAGGTTAAAGTGAGACGTGTAGTGGTAATAGAAAGGAGCTGTGGTTTCTGTGAGGGCTTTATTTCATTTGTAAGGAACAACATGAATAATGTACGGACTAGTAGATAAACTAGCAATAATGAACTATGGAGTACATAGTACGGAATACTTTGTAATAAACAAGTATGGAATTGCTATCGAACAAGTCTAATTAGTTACCAAGCTAAATTTGGTCTAGTGGTAAGGATTGTACCTTCCAACCTTGATGTTGGGGGTTCAATCCCCACTAGAGACACTTTGAGGGTGGAAATCTCTTACCCTTTCCCCCTCATTCTCAAAGTGTCTGACCCGCAAATACCAGATAAAAAAAATCGTGAGGGTTTCAAGGTCCTTCTTCTTACCTTAAAAAAAATTAAAAAAATAATAATAAAAAAAAAAGTCTAATTAGTTGAAAGTTATACTGTCATATTTTATGGACAAATGATATATATTTTGTAATAGTTCATTAATAATTTGACAACTAGTGATATTATAGATATAGTAAAGTGGCATCAAATATTGTGCCGGTATCATATAACAACCTAAATTTTAATCTTATTCTATACAATGACTTTTAATACGAAGTAGCAAATTGCTATTGTATTGTCATTGTTTTAAAGAACACTCGTAATTATAAACAGCTTGTAATTTGGATCATGGTTTGTTTAAAAATTTGGATTAAGTGCTGAAGTGGTTTGATAATACTCATTATTTTTTTTGGTGCAAATGATAATACTCATTAATTGGACGTTTGATATTGTAAATTTGTAATACCATGTGCTTTGTTTTAAAAGTCAATTTTGCAAAAGTCATTTCAATCTCATGGACAACAAAATTAAGCAATAATAGATTAGAGGGACATAAATTAATTTATAATAATTCTACAAGAAAGACAGAATACATACCTTTGAATTGTTTAGTGTTACTAAAATATAGTCCAAATTATTGTTGATAAATTAGTGGTTTGCATAGGTTAACACGACGTGCAAGAAATATGAAGAAGATGAGGTTTATGAACAAATCTTTGAATGTTGCAAATTATGAACAAATCCTTGAATAATAAACTATGCACAACCTACATTGACATTTGACAGTAACCACAGAAAAATAAACAGCTGCTAATGACATGCAAGCAACGAATGGTCCATTGACAAATGTCCATGATTAATTAAGACTATAACATTGAAATGATACAATAAAAGGTATGAACAGTTTAAAATATTGAGGTAAAACTCCAAAACCATCCTTCATTTTTAGAATTTTAACATACGCGTATAAATCAAACTAGTGATGGTCTTTGTAGCTTTCAAACTCCTATATTAAGGAATAAGAATATAATGTAGGTCATAAATGGTAATTAAAACAAATACTTAATAAAATTAGAAACTTACTTCATATAATTTTGGAGGTTGAAACAATGAAGTTTTTTTTTTTTTTTTGAAAAGCAAACTTCTATATAATATTGTATTGCTTTTCCAAATTCAATTCTAATACATGTTTGATTTAACTTAATAACCGTACTTATTTTTAAATCATAATTTCCATTTACGTTATTACTTTTGTCACTCTATTCAATATTCACAGTAAAATTTCAAATCCATAATATGAGACCGAAATATATTAAATCAAATCAAGCTCCGTCAAGAAATCCATAATACTTTCAACAACAAAAAAAAAAAAAAAAAAAAAAAAAAAAAAAAACATAATACTTAATTCGTAAATAACTTGACAAAAAGTTGAATATTCACATTCCAAATGAATTAATTAATGAATTAATTAGCCTCACATTCAAATACCATTATCGGTTTATTATACAAGTATACACTTTCCCACCTTCCATCCATCTCAACCTCCTTCCTTCCTTCTCCTATAACCCCTTTCTTCTTCCTTTCGCTCTCCTCAACAAAATTATCATGAAAGACAATCACCACCACCAACGTCAACAACACCAGCAGCAGCTACCGTTACACCATGAAGTTTCTGGAAGAATTCCTCAAACTATCTACGTTACCCAAAACCAACAGCGTACCTTATCATCCTCATCTTAACATACGCCCTTGGCTACTTTACCGCCTCACCTTCTCTCTCCTCCAACGAACAACTCACTTCTCCTCCTCCTGATTCTGCTTCCACTACTCCAACTGTCGTTAATCTCGTTACAACAACTAAAAACTGCCCTCTTGCCACGTCATCTACTGTCCTCGACAAGAACGACCACAACCGGTTCGGCCCGGTTTGTTCCAACCGGTCCCACCCGAAACAATCCGGTCTATAATCCTAAACCGGGTCTACAACGGAACCTCGCCCTACGAGAACTTTCCACCACCCCACGTGGCAGAATTACTACGTCCTAAGCGAGTCAAAGGGTGGGGCTCATACGGCGCCGTTTTCGAAAACCTTATCAGGAAAGCCCAACCAAAAACAATCATTGAAGTCGGAACATTCTTAGGCGCATCAGCAACTCACATGGCTCAGTTAACTCGCCAACTCGGACTCCAAACTCAGATCCTCTGCCTCGACGATTTCCGTGGTTGGCCCGGGTTTCGCGACCGAGTTGACTACGTCCCCGTCCAAAACGGCGACGTTTTGCTCTTCGCGCAGTTTCTACAAAACGTGATTTACCTGAACTCGAGCGAGTCAACACTACCGATTCCGTTTACAACGGGGTCAACGCTTGAGAAGCTTTGCGAATGGGGGGTAATGGCGGATTTGATAGAGGTGGATGCGGGTCATGATTTTCACTCGGCTTGGTCGGATATAAACCGGGCTTATAAATTACTTAGACCGGGTGGTGTCATGTTTGGGCATGATTATTTTACTAAGTATGATGATAGAGGTGTTAGGAGAGCTGTTGATTTGTTTGCCAAGGTTAATGGGTTTAAGGTTAATGTTGATGGTCAACACTGGGTTATTGAGTAAACTCGGTTCGACTTGTTGTTTTATACATACATAGATAGATAAGACATTGCAAATAGTGTGAGATCAGATACGAGTAATATTTTGTTTTACGGTTGATTTGATTTGCACAAATGTGTAGATTATACGGTTGTAGAAAATAAAGAAATGAATTGAAACAAAACGATGAGATTTTTTTGAGGGTTTTGTGTTATCTTCTTAACTATTAGTTTGTGGTTGGAAAATGAAGTGGATATATCTATACAAGATTGAATACGTATATTGGTTGCATCATGTGACTCAGATTTAAAGCTTGTAGAGCTCAACTTATGTTTAATGCCATTGTTAGCCTTTTATTGTTGTTTAAATGTTTGATCGGCCATAATAAAAACGAGTTCGTGCGTAATTTTGTAATGATTATATTTTATGCATATTTGTGATCTCTGTTGTATATCTTTCGCCTCTTGCTCGCTTTCTCCGTTTCTCCCTATGATGCAGTGATAGTTTAGCCATTGGAAGGCGAAACGATTTCAGCTCTATCTATTTTGCATTATGCATCTACATTGAGTTTAAATGACAAGCTAAGTTTAACAAAACTTTTTATGATTTGTTGGCATCATACAACGTACTATTGTATGGCATATTTTCTCAAGTCTTTATTCTGATTGGAATAGAAGATGCAAATTTAGTGGCTCTGAAAGTTTTCATGATCATCGTACAGCCCATATGACGCTGCTGCATACTGTAATTTATATCAACGTGTAATGTAGCATTTCAAGAGAGGATCTATTGTGCAAGTAGTTTTGAAGTAGAACTATCAGATTCAATATGATGTACACAAAGAAGACAATTGTTGTGACATTTCGCAGGTATTTATCAACAAATTAGTTTTTGTTCAAAATATGAAACATCTAAAACAAGCCTCCAAACTCTTGCAACGTATATGAACTTGACCTAGAATATAAGTAGAATAGAAGGGAGTGATTTGTAAATATAAACCTAAAATCTACTTTTGTGAGACAATATTGGTCAAAGTAAGATGATCGATATGAAACAAATGGAGTAATAAAAGAGAAAAATGAGGCTTATACTTTGTATATTACGGAGTACTATACTTGTATTAGTGTTGTCATGCTGGTGCATACTCCCTCCATTTCTTTAATTTGTTTTCTCGAGTCTCTTTTCAATTTGTTCCTTTGATTCAATTCTAACTCCCTATTATAAATGATTATGAGAAATCACAAATGACGAGATTTTATCTATTCAATCGGTTTATTAATCAACTAATCTACAAATTTTATTGTTATTAGAGAGCAAAAGCTGAAATCATTTTAATATGGGTTGATACAGGCAAACTGGCAAAGCTCTTATACATATGCTGTAGTGGGGTGAAGTAAGCCTTTAGAATTCTGAATTCCTGCTGATGGAGTAAATCTGTCTGAGATAGTTGAGCCCATTAACGAAGTGGGTTCGATCTGTAAAATTGAACACAGTCCATATCCCTAAAGTATTATGCAATCTCATCTACCGCATAAAACATTTCTAATTCATAATCGGCCATGTTAAACTCAAAAGATATTGAAGAAAACGGCTTAAGCTTGTATTGATATTCACGACAATATATATAGTACAATACAAGGAACTTGCCTAAAACTCCTAAAAAATATACTTCTCTGTTTTTTTATAGTTGCAACACTTCTCTTTTCACGCTTGACCGATGCATGTTTTCAATCGTTAATATCTTTAATTACCAATATGTAAAAATTATAAATATTTTATATTAAAATTGTATAAATCGAGATGAATCTAACAAGTTCCCACATGACTATATTTTTACTGAAGTATAAACCGTCAAATCTAGTAAAAGTGAAACACATAAATAGTGTAAAAGTCAAATTGTTGCAACTATAAATAAACGGAGAAAGTACATGACAAATATACAATATTACTATAAACCAATCGACTTCCAATTTTATTTTATTTTTTTTCCCGACGGGGTGCATAGTTTGTTCTAAAGACATACTTTGTATTTATCTCCTGTATTTTCATTTTCAAGCTTGTTAATGGACAATTATGGCTTGTATCGAGATCCAATTAAATACTATGAGTACCTCCGTTTCTTAATATCTGTAAAATTCATTTGTTACAAATAAAAAGAAACGTAGGTAGTAAATAAAAACTAAATGTCATTAGATAAACCACCAGTTTTGTTTCAAAAAAACTAATAAGATAAACCACCGGTGAACATGAATCACTCGTCCAAAATTCTTACTGAATAGAGCATATACCAGTACCTATTAAATCAAACACAGTTTCGACAGGCTAGCGGAATTTTGGATCGTGTTTATGCCAATGTAATTAATGGGCCTTGGGCTGTTGAGTGTTGGCTGGAACTTGGATAGGACAAGTGGACAACATGAAGCCAATGGATAATCTTTAATGTTGTCTCCTATAAAAATTTACCCATCTTTAATTTAATTTAGCTCTATTAGACCCTATTCAGTATTCAATACTTTCAATTTAGTAAAAATCAATAATTTTAAAGAAAAAATATAGCATAGAATCTGTAAAAATAATTTTCAATTCAGCAAAAAAAAGATAAAGTGAATATGGCTTTACTAATATTTAACCATCCGTTTTTTTACAAAATATTTGAATAATCCTCTTGTTTATTGATCCAATAAAATTCCTCTTCATTCATTTTTTTTTACTTGTATTTTTTTGTACTCCTTTGTTTCTAAACAAATGCATTACTTTGATTTTTATTGTTGTTCATATACTATCTTTGTTTCATAATGATGTTAGTGCTTCATATTTTTTTCCACATTCTCTAGTATGAAAGTTTGAACAACAATATGTATATTGGTAATTGTGTCCTTATAAAAATTATAAAGAGTTGAAAAAAAATCAAAAATTCATATTGAGACGTACTTCCTCCGTTCCTAATTAGATGACCTGTTTCTATTTATTACGTTTGTCAATGCATAAATTTAACGGTAAATTTCTCTAATTACCAATAAGTAAAAATAATTAAAAAAAAATTGATTTTTTGAAACCACACATTAAGAAGATTCCAAAAAGATCTTATATGACTATGTTTTTACATATCTATAAATCACAAAAGCTAGTCAAAAAAAAGTTAAAACGTGTCATCTTCTTTAAAATAGATGAATCATTAAATACGAAGCAAGACTTTACGTGATTGTAAATGATTTTTTTTTTCTTAAAGATATTTCACAAAAGATGATTAAAGTGAATTTTTGAATATTTCCATTTATTTAGGAAAGGAGTAAGTATCCACTTACCATAAACTTTTGTTTCTAAACGAGTGAATGTATGACCAGAAGAGAGAGAGAGACAAAAAAAAAGGGGGGGGGGGGGAGATTACAAATACACTTGGTTTGCTAAAATTTTTAACCTTAAATAAAGTAGGTTAATGATAACGACATGAATATAATTCCTCTATTCTTACTTTATTGCAACAATGTTATTTTGGGAAATTTCACAATTATTGACTTATTGTAACAAATTTATTTTTGGAGTATTTTATGATGTGTTGATGCTAAAGTTACAACTTTAGACTTGTCCAAACCTTTGTCTAGGGTCTATTGGTCCAAAGCTTTCCCTTTCAATTTTCCTTAAAATTGTGATGATTCATCCATTTATCTATTACATATTATTAAAGGCGAAATTAAAGAGACACTTGATATTGGCTTAAAAAAAAATTCTTACACCCATGTAAGTCTATAACACTAACCGAGTAACCCCTATAACAATGAACGAGTAATACCTATGATGACTGGCCACACGGTGTGGCCAGCCACATATAAGAATTAGTGCGTTTTCTGTGTTGTGGCTAGCCACACCGTGTGGCTGACTAACACACACCAAAACACTAAACGGTAACCCCTGACCGATTGAGTAACTCCTGACCAACCGAGTAACCCGTGACAAAGTAACCCCTGACCGACCGAGTAACCCCTGAACGAGTAAACCCTGAACGAGTAAACCCTGACCAAGTAACCCCTAACCGACTGAGTAACTCCAGAATAAGTAACCCGACCACACGGTGTGGCTAGCCACATATGAAACTTTGTGATATTGCACGAGATTCAACCTAGTTTAATATTATAGTGAATAATTTATTTTTTATTTTTTATTAATTTTTTCGACAAGAAGAAAAAGGATTTCATTAATAAAAGATAGTCAAACGACACTTATAAACATTTCCAAGGAAATCTAAAATTCCAACACAAGTACAAATCACCTTAGGACTAATTACATATTTGATCAACTATTGCCTTAGTAAAAAAACTTCATCCAAAGCAATACAATTTGTGAGCTATTATCTCTAATTCGGCTTGAAACCACTGATGAATACTTATTTGAGTGAAAATACTCATATGGTCTTTTAGATACTTACGGAAATTATGAAACCCTAAATCTTCAACCCTTAATAGACGAACAAATAAAGAAATTAAGCCAAATAGAATAACCACCATCTTAAAGATGGGCATCATTTATTTAAAGCTATTAAAAAGTATTTGGGGCTCTCTACAGTGATTCACAATTAAAAGCAGAAGAAAAAAGATGAAAGAGAAGAAGAGTGAAGGAAAACTTTAAAACCTTAAAAAATATATAATAATAAAAATAAACAGAAAAAATCTAACAATGAGGCTAGAAAAACCCTTCTAAGAAAGAAACCTTAAAAAAACCAAAAAACGCCCTATTATTATGAATAATTAAAAAAAAAATATACATGAAGGTATGATATATGTGTCGTTTTATCCTTTGTATCACATGGTTAAATTAGATATACAATGACAAGAAAGAGATTCAGGTTCATGGAACATTTCCACATTTCTGTCAAAGAAGAATTACTTCAACACTAAAATATACATGAGGTCAAATCACTCAGGTCAATTTTCACTCGGTAGTTTAATTGTTTATTTGTTATATTATCAATTTTGTGGGGCCCACATTGATATTAAAGGGTCAATAAATACATGAACCACAACATAAACGAGTACTGAGATGGTACAGTCTTTGGATCATCGTTCGTGAAAGTAACCAGTAAAGAAGTATGCATGAACTTGATTTCTTTATGCCTTGAAAATATTTTGGAAAGTCAAATAGAAAGTTGAATCAATTAAATACTCATTTTGAGCACGAGGTGCATTATTATTATTCTAATGTACTAG